TCCATCCTTTGTCTCAGTAGATTATTTTATAGAAAATATTTTATGATTAGATTATCATCTGTGGGGAGTCGATTTCCATCCTTTGTCTCAGTAGATTATTTTATAGAAAATATTTTATGATTAGATTATCATCTGTGGGGAGTCGATTTCCATCCTTTGTCTCAGCAGACTATTTTATAGAAAATATTTTATGATTAGATTATCATCTGTGGGGAGTCGATTTCCATTCTTTGTCTCAATAGATTATTTTATAGAAAATATTTTATGATTAGATTATCATCTGTGGGGAGTCGATTTCCATCCTTTGTCTCAGTAGACTATTTTATAGAAAATATTTTATGATTAGATTATCATCTGTGGGAAGTCGATTTCCATCCTTTGTTTGTTTAGAAAGAAAAACCAGTGAAGTTTCTTAATTTTAATATTATAGTACAAAAAGACAATTTTGTAAAAAGGGGGATCATTATTTTTTGCTTACGAAACTTGGACTTCAAACTCAGAATAATTTCTCACACCTTAATATTGACCTGTATGCGATACAAGTGCTTGCTTGACAAAACATCACGAGTTTAATAACCCCGTACATCAACAGATTGTTACTTTTAAACTTGATATATCACATCGTAATATTCAGAAAGCATAATTTTACGAATTTAGCGCATTTACTCAGGACGTTATCAAAAATAGATGAAAAACATTTCTGATGTGATATTACAAAAAACGAATTTGTAAAATACTCGTGGCACGATTTGTTTTGGAGAAACCTAAAATTAACTTTAAAACGAGTTATATTGTATATAAAGTGTGATCAAATGAACCTTCTGTAAGTTATGAGAGAATGTGATCATGTTAGAATTTATAATTATAAAATGTATAGTTTATCGCTCTGAACATCAACAACTTCAACAGTAGAAATTTCTGAATTTTTTTTTGTTTGATATATACAACATATGGATACGTGTTTGAATCAAAACAATTAACAATCATTTGAGAAACTTTAACTAATCTGTGTGTAAATGTAGACTAAAAGTTAAGGACGCCATTTTTTAATAGTTCCCAAACAGCTAAAGATAACACTGTACTCACTAACTGTTTATATGGAATATATGTTTCATGTGTGGAAACAAATTATATCTAAGGTTGATCTAAATGTCACAGTAATTATTGTCTTAGGTAAACATTTTCCATCTTTAAATGTGTGTACTCACTAACTGTTTATATGGAATATATATATGTTTCATGTGTGGAAACAAATTATATCTAAGGTTGATCTAAATGCCACAGTAATTATTGTCTTAGGTAAACATTTTCCAACTTTAAATGTGTGTACTCACTAACTGTTTATATGGAATATATATATATGTTTCATGTGTGGAAACAAATTATATCTAAGGTTGATCTAAATGCCACAGTAATTATTGTTTTAGGTAAACATTTTCCATCCTCAAATATGTGTGTTCGTGTGTTGAGAATAATGCGTATTTTTATGTTTTGACAAAAAACACAATTATTCGGTTGTCATGGTAATGCTTACACCCATTTCTATATGAACATTAAAGACATTTAGTTAAATAGTTTCAATAAAATGTTAAAGCAACAGTGATTTGTAAGTTAACTTTGTTATTCCTAAACGTATTGAGGTGTTGTATAAAAAACTAATTTTTAATTTCCTGTGAGGCGTTTATAATTTGTGAGGATTATTCATGGACAAAAACATAATGATAGTACAAAAACATTGAATATATGAGATGTTGGCGTGCCTCGATGTGTACTTGTCGTATTTTGAAAAACAATTATGGTCCCAGCTCATATGTTCACTTGTGTTAATTTGTTTCTTATATATATAATCTATGTATGCGTATTAAGCTAATATATATGTGTGTGAATCTAAACTTACAAGGTTTTGCATACTTGTTACCGTAAACGTGGGTAAGTTTCCATGACAACGGATTATTTGTAGGCGGGTAGTTCAGTTCGTGAACCATAAGTGGGTTGCATCAGAACAAATTTTGTTGGTTTCTACATACCTAGTACTACGGTTACTAGTTGCTTAAGAAGGAAATAAAACTATCCAGGTTTTGCTCCAGAATAGTGAACATGTGTTTTCTAACCCATTTCAGAGTTATGTAACCGCTATGAAAATCAGGCCTAAAGAAACGCAGCAGGAAAGACGACACAAACAATAACAACAATTGGGAATTTATAAGATGTATCTCGGGTTTTGAGATATCTGTGGAAGTACGACCTATAAAGGGGTTAGGGATGCACCGGCTGTCTGTCTTGGTTTAATAAGCACCACTTCAGAGCCGTGTGTCCCATTAGTTTTTTATAGGACAAATGCGAATTATGAAATGCCATTCTGTTTCATTTCAAATTATGTAAATGGTTTTATAATTTATCTTCAATCGATATGTCATCTGTCTTTCTGTCTGTGTCTAACCATCTTTATATCAATCTGCCTATGTGCATATACAGTCCTTATGTTGAGGGAACTGGGCACTATTAGTGTTTTGATAAATACATGTTTATGTTTGTACATGTTACATATGTATATTTAAATATATGTATTCTTATATATGACACTCATGTTTTTTTACAAATAGCTTCATTTTTCTAGCATTTGTTTGTAACACTTACAGAGCACTACGATATTGTGTAGGTTTCTTCTTCGTGCTTCTCTTGTGTCGCGTTTTTCTCCCGATCTTGTATAGAATAGACGACACATATAACACCTCTTTGTCTCTCAATAAATGGGAGACTCGCCCACACACGTGTAAGCAGCAGTGTAAATAACTGTTCATTAAACACCAGTTCTTTACATGTAGGCCCCTCTCTGGACTATGGCGTACTGAGGTACAATGGCAGGAAATTCCCAAGAGGTAACCGCCGACTTCATAGGACTTCTTTCTCATATATCAAGTGATAATATATGCATGAATTTTCCATTATTTCAATGTATTCCCCACGTGCATGTGAATACTCAAATCTATTTTCTTCGAAGCAAATATCACACCTTCCACCTGTTTTCCCATGCAATCACGTGTGACTGTTTCAGCCAATGAGAATGGACCACTGTTTGCTAACTTGTAATGTCTTTGCAGTTAGGTAATTGAGTCATATCAAATTAATGAGTTGTTTGAATAATCTTTTATAAATCTTTAAACGTTGCCCTAGTTTTACTTGTCGCACTGTCTCACCAATGGATGGTGGTGTTTGTGTATTAATTGCGTAAAACAAGCAAAATGTGTGGAAAATCGGTTCAGTTTACAGCAGAGCCATTCAGCCGATTAAGCTATAGTAAGTCACGTGAATTTAGAAACAACATACGTGCTAAAAAAAAAAGAGTAAACATTGCTGACATTTGTTGGGTTTAGCAGTCCCAGGGGTTGTGTTGACATCTAATGTGGAGACCGGCTGCATCGCAGGAAGTACAAGAGTTCCTTTACTGATGTTACCAATGCACTTCTTGCTGCGTACCGTCCTGTTGACTCCATGACATTTCTTATTCCTCTGTATTCAAGTTTTGTATAAAATGGCAGTGTTTTAAGATTCGTTGTTATTATTGCATCCTGTTACACACAAGAAAATGTTAACAATTCTATTCCTCTGTATGAACTATACTTTCGTAAAATTTGTGTTTGTAAAATCGAAAAATTTCTTGATCTATAACTATTACGGTCTGACTTAGGAGGAAAGGTCCAGCGTAAGGAGTTGTTTATGTTGTTATTACCCATAATGATCTTCTGGGTATTCTTTACTTACCCTAAGCTGGGTTTAGTCCTCCTCCTTCAGAAACCACTGCCTATACAACTTTTATATAGTCATGTTTTCATTCTATTTTGTAAAGGCTCTGCATGCCTCAGGTGAAACACACCAATTACATTTTCTTTAAAGCTCCAGTAATTACCAAAGATATCATTATGTATAAAAGCCCTCCAACGTAGCCAGCTACTAAGTAGGATTATACTGGCAAACTATAGATTTTAACGTTAAAAAGCTTGCAACCCCCTCTCTTGGACGAAAGGCTTTGCGTTTCTCAGTGGTGTACTAAACTTGGTTATAGAAATTTCCGTAGCTCGTTCTTCAATATAAACTCGCTAAGCAGCTGCATCTTGGGAAAGCCCTAAAAAGCCTGGTGAGAGTCAGCTCAGTTTTCATATGTAACAAGGTGTATGTGTATAGGGTACTTTGCATCACGAAGTAAATTGGAACGTAACTTAAATATCGCTCCCTCTCTCTTATAAAATGGTTTTACTGCTGGGTTATAAGGAAATGTTCAAACTTCAATATGCATGGTTTTTAACCTCCTCTACTTGCTTGTCATTTGTCCGTTTTTCTTCAGTTTTTTTTAATGTCTGTTCACTTTCAATGTTTAAATTATTAGTAATTATGCTATATGAAAGGTAAGTGATTTTTTTTCCCGAATATAAATCAATTCCCTTGTCTGTTTTTTAAACATGTGCTTGTTGTACAGTACTAAAAAACACGCTGTTTATACGAGTCATTTATTTTCCCAATTAACTTTTTAATCTATCAGTTTATTCTTACAGATGGCAGCTAATGCTAATTAATACTTTTAACTGTTTAAGGTTCAGTTTAAATAGGTTAAATTAATTACCCAGTTCATAAATTGGGACTTTCTTTTATTTATCTTTGTCGCATATACTCAGTAAATCTTTCCATAAAAGTTACAGGTGATAAACATACTTTTTCTCGTATTTTTCATGCAGCTCGAGGCTTTGGACGAAGGAGAGGTATTTAATATCGGGTTATTTATACCACTGTAAACCTCGTATGTTTATGTGTAATGTTATAAATCTAAAAACATACTCTGTCGAATCCCTTATATTCTTGTACACGGTTATATGTAGCAATACTTTTGTGCCTGTTCATGCTTAGTGAATATTTTAACTAAATTCGTCTGTGTATGTATGTATGTATGTATTATATATTGTTTCATACAACACTGTTTTATTTTTCCTTTCAACTTTTACAATCATTTAAAATTACTTTTTAATGAAATATAAACCCTGTAGAATTCTATTATAAAATTTCAATATACTTAAAATTTACAATAAGCTAAAAGGTTAAGGACTAACAATTATATTTCTAGTACAAGGTTCAGTAAAAAAAACTTATTCTTTTTCTTTTCCTTTTGTACATTGATGTTTTGTTGTACAATGAAAACTTTAAAACAGACGGGAAATATTACTTTATTAAGCGCCCTCTTTAATTTAATATTATTCAAGGAAGCTTTAAATTTTTTAATGAAATATTCTTCATATTCCAGTCTTTTTATTTTGTTATTACATGAACAAAAAGGATGAACTTTAAAAAAGGTTTCCTTAAACTTTTAGCTATTGAATAGTTTATTAAGGCAACTGTTAAAATGATATTAGGCTTAAATTTCATTTCAAATATTAGTAAACATTGAAAGAAGGAATAAGACAAACTGTTGTATGAAATATAATATCCAACAGGAAGTGAACTTTGAATTGTCAAATATTTATATATATTAAAAGGAGAGCGAAAGCTGATTTAAAAAAATTCCTAGGAAACAGCCGAAAAACTAGAAACTAATAGAAATTCACTGAAGAAATTGTGTTCGTATTTATGTATAAATTATTTAACCATCCAGCATTATCAGAAGCCTTAAACGAAAAATGTGCTGTTAAAGATTATATTTTATTGTTGTATTTAAAGACATGCTCTACAGGATTATTGTATTTTTTTATAATTATGAATATGTATGTGCCATAGGAATATTGTATTATGTTTTATGTCTACAAATGTGGAGGACTAGTTGAGAATTATAGTTATAACAGTTGTTTTATCACAAGTGTTATCTTTCCCCGTGGCGCCAAAAACGATCGAATATAAAAAACGAGATAGCAATAATCAACATCTTGCTTTTATAGCTGCATATTTTAATCTTCACTAATTCTCATGTTTCTGAAATAATGTTCTTGTCTTTTTTTTATTCATTTATTGCTCGTAATTTGAACTAAAGCAAGTATTGATGTTAAGCTTTTGTTTCGTAAAATACTCTAATTGTATTTTATGTTCGGATTTTCATCACCTGAGTTAATAATTAAGAGAGGCAAATGGCGGTGCTATTTGTTTTTACTTAGTCGCTAATAAGAGCTTAGGAATTGAAGAAGAAAATACTCTATTGGTTATAATGAAAAGCCAACGCTGTAAAAACTTGGTATCTAAATTAAGCTTAATAGGTTAAATGTACAGGCCATAACGGTGACAAAACAAAACGTTAGGCGTAATTACCGAATACACATAATCCTTAACGAAGTACCGTATTTTTCGGAATATAAGACGCATCGATGTATAAGACGCACCCCTATTTTGAAGACAAAGTTTTTTTTGGGGGAAAAAAGCTACAGTCGCATTTGAAAGATTTTTATTGAACAAAAATTTAATTTGATACTTTAAAAATTAGTATATATTGTTCTAAACACAAAAGAACTCAAAATAAGAAAATACCGTAAATCAAAAAAAGGTTTACTGTTATTTAGTTTGGTTCAAAACCTACAAAATTTTCATTGCTTTCACTGTAATTTATTTTTTTAGTATTTAGGGAGCATTATAAATAGCTATGTTTTTAAAAGAAAAAACTACTATTGTTATAAATAACACATTCAATTGAACTAAACTATGCATCCC